CAAAACACAGCGCTTGTACATCTTTGGAGTTTTTAATTACCTCAAATATATTTAAAAGGACATACGGTACTAGAATCTATTTGTTTTCAATATAAACCAAGGATGGGAAGGTGAGAAAATAGGAATTTTCTGAGGTGTTTTTAACACAGACAATGACAGCCGACATTTTCAAAGGCAAATTGCTGTGACAAAACCAAAAGTTATTCACTTCTCTACTCAAAGCACTGAAAAACACCATAAAGAGAAAAACATTTTAAACATACATCAGGTAAGCCTTTTAGCTCAATTTTCTCATGTTTCTGTTTGGAAAGAAACGGTTTTTAGCCAAAATTATTTTTCGCGCCAATGTAGGCTGCTATAAAATGTCAGACACGCGTTCTCTTTTGAAGTCTGGCTCTGAAAAACAACCGCTTTTTTTTAGTTTGAAATAAGCTTTCATTAGGACTAATTGTGTAGAAATGTTATCTGTATGCTCAAATGAAAAAGATAACCTAATATTCAGGTATTCAACATAGCTATAAAAGGGTGAAATAAGGACTTTCATCTTTGGTTGTTTGTCAGACATGAGAAACCACATTAGTGCCATTTTGTCGCGCGTGCTATTTTATAAAATAAACACCTCAAAACCATAAACTTTTAGTTCAGAAAACTACAAAGTTTCCCATAGACATTATTAAAAATGTTCTAGTGAAACGATTTCATGATAAATAAGCGAGCAATGGGCTCGGAAGGACGGCTAAATTATGTTTTTGTTGGGACTTCAGTTTCATGGCTTCCCGCAAAGGAAGCCATTTCAGAGAGAAGCGACAACAACGGCAAACAACCGTCGCGACCAAATTTTGATAACTTTTCCTTCTGATTCAACATGTAGTTACTAGAAAATGAGGTTGGACCAACATTACTATCTGCCTTATCGATTTAAAGTTTTATGGGGATATAAAACCCAATACAAAAAGCATTTTAAAAGCATTAGAACTCAAGTGCGGACTTTTTGAGAATTCGCACGCGGCAAGCAAGCGCATTAATTCAATACACTTATTTCAAACCACAATATGTCTGAAACAAGTTGTCATTTTAAGACTAAATTGATGAAAATAGATATAACAGTGATTTTGGAGTACCCTACTTACTTAGTGTAATTTAATACTCGAAGTATTCTTGCCAAATAGGGCACGTACGCACACAGTAATTTAATCTGGTGTCGTTTGAAACATACTTTAGCTAAAATAACAACTTGAACAAGAAGACCAACAATGGGGTTACGAAAACAGTCGAAATTGTGCCCAAATTTGCATAAACAGTTCGTCTAAAAAGATAACTTTAAACTAGATTCAACCAACATTAATGCAGTCGAATTTTGTGAGTGTTTGATCGCATATTTCTACTCAAAAATACCATTTAAAAAATCGTATCTGCTCACTTGTGTTCCGTGTTCATCTTTCTTGTGATTTCCGACTTCTATTTTTAATAAAGTTTGGAGAAATCCTCATCTTTTTGGCTGAAAATCTCGCGCATGGTTCACAGAAAAACTTGGCCCCAAAACGTCAATACATTCGCTTTCCTTTCATGCCAAATTTTCGTTGTAGTTGATTCAGAAACCTCTTCTTTTCTTGCTTTTAAAACTTGCTGTAAAATCTTTCTTTGTAACAGAATCGCCATTATTCATTATTTTTGGAAAACTAAGATTTTAAACTTGAAAAACTTTGCGAGTTTCTGACCGATTTTCTTGCATGATACACCGTTGAAAAGCTCGAATTTCACGTTCTATTTTCGTATCCGTTGCTAGGCAACCCAATAAACACGTGCTCAAATATCATGCCCGCAAGTTAAGGTGTCATGCCAGGGCGCATTCGGGCGCATTGTCCGTTACCCACTTGTCAATCTCAGGGCGCATACGGGCGCATTGGGCGTTAATGAGTTAAAGTTTGCTGACAGGGTTCAACGAATGCCAACGTCGAAGCTAACCAGTTATTTCCATACCTTTGGTGCAGCAGGAGTTACGCAGTCAAGAGTGACAACAACTTCAATTGTAAGAAGAGCAAAGCGAGGTAAAATCCATGTTCAACCAGAAGCAGTGAAACGCAGGAAATTAGAGTCCGGAAGTAGAGCAAAGCAACCAAAAGGGCAAATTTCAAAAAAGAATCCATTTTTATTGAAGGCCGGAAAAGCAAAACGGCTTCATCAATTTGCTCACAATGTTAGACAAAACTAGCCTGTATCAAAGAAGGCCGGCAGATCCATGTCTACTAAAACCCGATGCTGTGAATCAACAGATATTTGCGATCGACTAGAAAAATAGAGCTGAAAAATAAACTACAGTTTTTTCAGCATGAATTTAAAATGACAAATAGTAACATTGCAATATAATCACTAATCAGTACTATTTTAATTATTATAAAATGCAAATGTATATAGCTATATATATATATATATATATATATATATATATATATATATATATATATATATATATATATATATATATATATATATATATATATATGAAACTGTAACAATTTAAACAAAGCCAACTTATTTAATACATTATATACTCAATTTCACAAAACTTTTAACTTTTAACAAATTTTTAATTCCCAACTTCTTCCAAAGTTCGCAAAAATTCAGAAGTTCATATTGAAATTCATAAACTAATTAGTAAAGAAAGCTTCCGATTGGTCCAGGAATCAAATTTATGCTTGTTTACAATCCGAATATAGTTGCCAAACGCTTTGTGAAATCAACTGTAACTGGCAGTACTTTTCTACCAACAAGTAAAGTACTAATAAGGTTCAATTGAACCAATGTTTTCTTACCGTACCAATAACTTCAATGCTAAAGCATTGTCTTGTATATTTATTAACTGGAAGTGCACTTTTACTCTGACTAATGCCTCTCGCTCAATGGTTTAATGCAAAGATTTTTGCTTGTCAGTGACAAACTCAGTGATTAACAACTTTTTTCGTGTCTGTGAAGGTTTGGCTTTAATGTGAATCTGCACTGGCATTTTTCACACATATATTTTTTGACCCTTGTATGTTTACTTGCATGCCTTTCCAGTGACTGCTTCGATGCAAATGTCTTTTCACAAATTTCACATCTATTTTGAGAAGGATCATGGCTTCTAAGGTGTCTTTTTAAGGCTTCACCACCAGAAAACTGCTTACCACAACAGTCACACAAGCATGGCCCACATTGCTTTTCATGATATACCAAATCTTTTGCTCGACTGAATTTTTTTGAACACTTCTTACATACATGTTCCAAAATACCACAATCTATGTCCTCTTTTATAAGTTGCCCTTGCCTTTTCCAGTCCTGTTAATTTGTCAAAAGCATTATTAGTATTGGTTTCATAGGGGGGGGGGGGCATATATTCATGTTCACAGACCATAAAAACAATCGATTTCAAAAGAATTGAATAATGCAGAACACGAATATATGAATATGTGCCCCCCAATTATCAAGCTGGCTTAACGCCACTGACATTTACTGTCTCATAAATATTTTTGAATGTTTACCAAGATTGCATACCAACCTTCCGGACTTCAGGACTGCATCGTTTCCACATGGTGGCTGCAACTTTACTCATCATCCCTAAATCAGTCTTGCCATCTGTATTTTCAACATGATTCTCAGTGATAATACCCTGACATAAAACCCATATAATATATAACTTTATTGATGAATGTCAATGATAAATAGTATGTTATAAATAATATAAACAACTGTGATAACTGTTGTTGGAATTAATTGTACTCGATCGGTGGAGAATAATGGTGTTGGGTGTTGAATCTGAGTAACAGACCATACTGGTAAAGGGGTAGCAAATCTTCGAGTTAAGCCCTTTGAGTTAAGCCCTTCGAGTTTATAAGCCCTTTGAGTTAAGCCATTTTCGAGTTAAGCAACGCCCATGCCACACCCATATCTGTTGAGTGCTTAACTCAAAGTTCATAACTGGAGTTGGGTACTTCAAGTTAAGCAGTCTGAAAAACAGGGGCTTAACTCGAAGAAATTTACCAGTATTTGTCCATATGCCTACCTTTCATAAAAAATTGTGGTTGGGGCTTAACTCGAAAAGGGCTTAACTCCGCGGGCTTAACTCAAAGATTTGCTTCCCCTAGTCAATCATACTTGTAGATCAGTTGGTAGAGCGTCGGACTAGCAAACTGAAGGTTGCGGGTTGGAATCCCAGCCGGGCCAAGTAGAGTTTTCTCTGCTTGACCGGTATGGTTTGTTACTTGGTTTCAACCAGCACCCAGTTTCATCACCCAGTTTCAACACACAGTTTCGACACCCAGTTCACCATAATATAAATGATATAAGTACTATAAATAATATAAGTAGTATAAACTTATATAGCTAAGTAATTTTAACTTGTAGAAGTAATATAAACTATTTGTCACGTGGTTTGTGTGATATCACATGTGAATTATTATGTAGATGTATGGAATTATTTAGGTGCAAAATTCCTACAAACTTCAGCATTTTATACAAGTTTTTATATTAAAGCTTGAAGCATTTAATGCACACAGACTCCCGGTTTTATATGTCAGGGGCATTCTTAATTTGGAAACATATTTCAAAGGAATAATGCAACAGTATTAACTTTATATATATATACTAACGTACGTATAAAAATACTAACGTACCGCAACACTCTTGTAAAATGCATGGTAGCCGGTAAACTTTGTTGATTTCATTGGCCCCCTCTCTTCTCTGGCATCTTCGATAACATCTTTGTTTACATGTTGTTCGTCCGCCATATGTATTATGTTTACATTTTGCATAAAAGCAATCGTTCAATATATAAATAATATGAGAAAACACAACCTCTCCGCGCGGTGATGTAAATGTCAATCGCGCGTGTTAGTTTTTCTCTAAAAGCACTCGGAATTCATCATGACGCCTTCCGATTCCGTTCCGAAGCTTTTGATCATGCTACCCGCGGAGCCGACGTTAACGAAGGTAAGTTTGTTTTAAATATTGATTTTATAATTGCTTTAAAACCCGACGGCCTTTGCGTATATGAAACAACTAAACAAGAGTACAAGACAGCATATCGGGCCCCATTTCAATGTATCTTTATAAATATCGATTCCCTTTTTTATTATATGGAATTTTTTTAAATAAAAAAGAAAGCAAAGTTATTTGCATGCGAGAATTTGAAATCATTTTATTGGAAACTCAAAGTTTATCGATAAAGCCATTTAGTATAATTACAAAGGTGATTATCGAAAATTGTGGCCGCTGATTGGCCAATCGACCTCGGATTATTACGCGATAATCACCTAAGGGTTTTTTTCAAAATGGCGGCGAGTTGTTTTGCCAAAGTGACAGATAAAGAAATAAGTAATTTTAAAGAAAATGCTGTACCTAAGAGCTCGAAAGAAGAGAATTATTTCGAGGTAGGAAACTAAGTTGCAGAAATCTGCTTAACTTTATTTCGCATAAAACATCGTTTTATTTTAAATTGCCGTACAATTGTCTAGACATTTGTTTACGTTTGTAAAAATATATTTTCTACAGATTGGTTTCAACAACAGTCAGAATTCACAAATGAGTTTGAAGACATGAGTATTGACGAAATGAATCGAATTTTTATCAAAATTCTATACCTTTCTGTAAGAAAAACGGATAGGAATTACTACAAAAAACATCCTTGATGGCGATACGAGCGCCTTCATTGCGCATACCGCTTTCTTTATGAATTTAATTAAACGATTTTCAAAAAATTGAGATGTGTAATTATATTCTTTTTTTCAAATAATCACCTTTGTAATTATACTAAAACAATTATTCGCCTCAGGCTCGGTGAATATCGCCGAATAAAAACCTCGACTTCGTCTCGGTTTTTATTCAGCGATATTCACCTCGCCTTCGGCGAATAATTGTTAATTAATTAAAGAATAAAGGCAGTTTAGTTTTATAAAGAACACTTTAAAACGTTTTGCGAAGCGTTTGTGGTTGAATTTTACCTTAAATTGAAGCTTATATTACGTATAATATCATACCTAACATAATTATATATGTTGGGAAATTGATAATTTTGTAATTAAAAGTGATATTTTTAAGCGATTTTTCATTTGTAAGAATATTCTTAAGAAATTATCGTGTTGCCATGACAACTACTTTAGATACTTCATGTTCGGAAAATACAATGGTTTTGTCAGCAAGGCGAGGGTTTCTGCATGCATGTATTTTCTAGTAGCTTAAAGACCATGTCGTCCGTAATGTAAACAAACCTTTTGTTTGGATTTTGAACTGCTATATTTGTAAAATGAGACATATACTAACAGAATATCTAACACTTTTCTGATCCGAAATTGTAAATGAATATAAACTAGAGTCCGTTTCAATTCAAAAGAGTTCGGAAGATGCAAAATTTCGGCAATGTTTATATTTGTGGGTCCCCCTTTGTTATGAGAAGAACTGATGCGCAGAACGGACTTGACATGGTCTTTAAATAGCACCTGAAATATGACATGTATACTGTAGTCCACATTGCTGCAAAACGCCTTACTACAGATGTAAATATAACACAGATACATGTACAAGCATACATTAATACAGATAGTGTCTCACACAAATAGTGTACAGCATTATACACAGGCATTCACCAAGTCAATGTTGAAAATAATAGTTCTGTGTAAGTTTTACCCCACCCTGGCCAGCCATTAAAAGCAGGAAACCCATCTCAGTAGTTTCACACAGTGTAATTATGCCAGGGGCGGCGGAACGGATTTCAGTTTGGGGGGGCTAAATTTTTTTTTCCGTGACCTCCCCCCCCCTGTCGCCAAAAAAATTTCGGTCGGTGTACCATTTTAGGGGGGCAAAAATTTTTCCGGACATATACAAGAAAAGGGATGAAAAAATTTTTTCCGGACCTATAACAAAACATTTTTCCGGACATACTCGATTTTTACACAAAATATCCCAAATTTTTCCCCTTATACCCTTAATTATCAAAATTTCCCAGAGAAAACAAAATTTTCTTGGGCGGGGGCTAAGCCCCCCACTTTTACTTCTGGGAGGGCTTTAGCTCCCCTAGCCCGCCCTGTTCCGCCGCCACTGAATTATGCTATGGTATGAACTACTTTGCCAAGGGTGGGTAGTAGCGACGTAGTTGTAGTTCGCTACTGTAGCGAACTACAATTTTCAAGTAGTTTTTGACTACTTTTTTAAAACAGTAGTGGTAGTTGTAGCGAACTACATTTTGCCTAAAAGTAGCCAAATAGTTCACTACTTTTCAAACAGCGAATCACTATTCGCTACATTTTAAAATTGTTAGCAACCGTTCATAGAATAGAATGATGATAAGACACGGCTTGCTTAAAAGATTATTTTATAGAGTAAAGATTATTTTAGCGCAATGAAAAGTGGCACTCCTGAACACTGTAGTGCTTATAAAAATGTTGCTTTGACCCTTTTTGTTTACTGTTGCTACTCGTAAGTCGATTTGTTATAGGTTATATTACAGCCTGAGCTACAGTAGTGGATGCTCCAAATACCGTAAAACTAAAAAATATAGAGTAGCGAAATAGCGAAATAGTTCGCTACAATTTTTAAGCAGTAGCTGTAGTCAGTAGCGAACTACCTTTGTTCAAACGTAGCAGTAGTTGTAGCTGACTACATATTTTTGAAGTAGCTGTAGTTATGGCGAACTACAAAAATTTTGTAGTCAACCCACTCTTGTACTTTGCATATATATATATGAACAGCCATGCAGGCTGATTTGGTTCCCAATCTGATAAAACTTTCTCCCTATAAACACAAACTGGGCTGACGTGGTGGCAGTTCTAAGAATGCTGCTGTGAGCTATGTACAAAGACGGTTAAAACACTGTAAACCATTTCACTTGTGCTTTTTATACAGCATATACAATCACAATAAATTTGTTATTCATATATTTTATAACACTTCATTGTACTAAGTCTATACCTGCATACATGACCACCATCACCGATTCAAGCAAAAACATCCCATTTTAAACAACAATTATTATACAACAAAAACTGTCTATATCAGTGTAGGTAGTACCAATGTAGAAATGCTGTTCTGAGTGGTTATATTACTAACTTGAAAAATAAGCAGAAACTCGACGTTTCGATTCGAGTTTCTGTTTATTTTTTAAGGTAGTAATATAACCACTCTGCACAGCATTATTATACAACAACATGCGGACTAGCATCCATGTATTAACATCTACCTTTTCACAAATAGCGTTTGCACATGACGTCACAGCTGCCATGTTGGTGTTCCAATTCAAAATAATTTTAATTACTAGACTCTTTTGTCTGGAACACCAACATGGCCGCCATGGCTTTTGTTGAGTTAGTCCCTAGGGAATGAGTGCAAACGCTCTATACAAGCAGGTCTGAATCTTCAGACACTGCAAAACCACAGCCTCGAATGAAAGCGCCTGGGGATGAGCTAGCAAGACCAGCATATCTATTATTCATAATAAATGCAATTTGTGCGTCTGCTTCATGTGGTGCCATTATGTACTGAATATCAATTTCCTAGCAAAGCTGAAAGTTGGATAATAAAAAATTGTTATTTTCTGCACACAACTACTTTCCAATTTACTCTCTATAATTTTTTATGCATTTGTACATAAAAAGGGATGTCATTGAAAAAATGGGAATTTGAATTTTGCAAAACAAATTGATCGCATTGACATGGATTATTGTTTAGGAGGCATTGACATGGATTATAAATTGTTGTAAAATTCCTGTGCACCAACAAAATGTAAACTCTGGGGAGGGGTATGGGCAAGGTGTGAGGATTTGAATTTAATTAATTTCTTGAAAACTAGATAGTACGTGGTTCAATTTAAACCACATCCTTTTCCTTACTCTCCATATATTGTTTGGCAAAGTGTTTTCTGCCAGCTGCAAAGGGCCATTGCGATGACTTTTATTACTTAGGTGCTATTTATATGATCTTCAGATCTTGGATACTAGGGACACCCAACCCAGCCTAGACAACTTTGCTGCACGTTTATACGAGAAATATTTATAGCCCTGTATCACCTCCTATATATATGTCACAAGTAAAACCAAGACGTAAATAAATACAATCCAAAACGTAACTGGTGTCAGTTGAGGTTTCCCCAGATAATTTAGCAGACAGTGTTTGCTGCTCATGCACTTTTCCATATTTGATATACATCTTTCATTTTATATTTTTATTGGCATAACACAGATCTCGAAATTCCAATCCTCTGACAAAAACAAATTATGACATCAAAATTATTACCAGAATACAAAACCTCACTTGTTGCAACAATATTTTAATATTCGCAAAATAAAAAGAACTTGCGTCCCTGTCTTGATTTTTACACTAAAAAACTATTTGTCTCCATGTTGCTCAAAGCTAACTCATAATGAAAAAGTAATTATACAATGTACTACTTTCTAAATAAATGTTTCGACTATTTTTTATAGAACCTGCATATGTCTGGTCAATAGTTCATTCGTTTTGTTCGCAATTACTACAACGAAAATATCGTTAGAAAAGCCATGACAAAACAGTATAAGGACAAAATAAAAACCTGAAATAGATATACAGTTTCCTTCGTATTTTTAAGAAGGGTTATTAGTGCGACTGTAGGTTTAAATCCGACGACATATTTTCAGGCTTTTCAGAACTTTCAAACCTTCGGCACGTAACACCTTGTTTTTCCAGTAAAATATTAAACAGTTAAATGTACAATTCACCAAGCCCATGGTTTTAGTCCACAATGATGTAAGGTTTGCATTAT